TTATGAAGGGGATTTTACATAAGGCCTTAACCTATATGCACCTGGTGTGTAAGCTATTATGATTGGGAACAGCTACAGCTACCAGTTAAGGGGTGGAACATGCTGAAAAGGGTAACTATAGGGGTCTATACCTATAAAAGGGTGTTCCAACTATACTACCATCGCTAACATTGTCTATGTTAGACTTAAATGGCCACTTAAGTTGGTTTACATGTCTGTTGCCTTTTAGACGAACGACTTGAGATTGGGTGTTTGGTTTCCCCATAAATGTTTTAGGAGTCTATGGCGAGACTCATCAAAAAGAATAAGCTATCCCCCCGAATAGAATTGTTCGAGTAGGTTCGGCTTAAGCGTTGTGAGACCAATGTAGATTATGGTACTTAAGGTAGCATTAATCTACATTGACTCCGCAAAGATTAGGTTTTAACGAGTGAACTGCATGTTGGCATAGTTAAAGTCCGTTACAGTCTCCAACTAAAATACATACAAAACTCATTCTTACCTCAGAAACAAATATCAAAAACCAATTAAACGATGTCTCAACATCGACAAAAACAGTGACTAAGCAACCAGTAAAACAACGTTTCAACATTGACAAAAGTAGTGATTAAGCAACTAGAAAACGACGTTTCGGTGCGTCACTCACTCTGAATGTCAGATTTGATCACGTTATCGCGTCTGGTAACATTACCCTAACTGGCGTCACCCCCCTTCGGTCATGGGGGACCGCGAACACGGGTGAGGACGTCGCTCCATGAGCTAAAGTTAGGTTGTCCTTGAGTAGTTTTAACTGTTTGCGCAGCTGAAAGAGGACTTTAAGGTCTGGATTGGAATCCATTTCGACTTTCGATGGAGTGTATTTGTCTGGGTCAGTCAGATACAGTATCATCGAGTTAATTGCAGGATCCAACTTCTGAAGTTGGATGATGTCTGGGTCAGTCAGCATTGGGCGTACAGAAACTGTTATCAGCAGGTTTAGCTGCAGCTTGTGCACGTGTGACTGCCATTACCTCAGTTGTAGATAGTGACGACTGAGTGTTGAGTAGCCAGGAGGGGTCAAAGGACCACGTGGGTCCGTCAACGGCTCCTTCCTTGGCTAGGGAGTCTGCAAGGTCATTGTAGTGCTTGTCATCGCCTGGGACTCTGGAGTGTCCTGGAACTTTCTTCCAGAA